ACACACACACACACACACACACACACACACACACACACACACACACACGAGAGTAAGAGAGAGGGAAGAGGGAGAGAGGAAGAGAAGGAAAGAAAAGTTTTCCTTGAGAAGGAATCTTAGTGACTTTAACTTGCTGTGATTCCTCTGGAGCTGTGTGTTCTTCTAAGCTGTTTTTTGTAACATGAGAACTCTGGCCTTTGCTTCCCACCTTTCAGATGTTACTAAACACACAGAGAGGCTAAGCCATCTCTGGCTTAGAGACAGGAAGAAGAGTTCAAAGAGCCAAAAGCTGTATTTCTTTCTATTTCCTGTTTCATTTTCCTCAGTGATTGCATCTCGGTCTCTAGATTAACAAAGCCTTGAGCTAGAGTCTGGGCAACATGGTTTACTAACTTGTAGAAAGTTAAGGACGCTCTCAGCTTCTCTCTGCTTCCCACTACATCCTAATGGATGAAATGGGGACAGTAATACTTCCTGCCTTTCGAAATTAACATGAGGACTAAATGACAGTACCTGATACTTAACAAATTCTCAATAAACTACTCATCACAGTCTACTTAAATCCCAAATGCCCCCACAGATTAGCACTAAGTGTGACTTAGTTTTAGAATGGCCTGGGAGAGCCTCAGTGAGGAACTATCTAGATCAGGTTGGTGTGTGAGCATGTCTGTGGAGATTTTCTTAATTACATAGCTGTGATAAGAGCTGGCTCCCTGGTTCACTCCTGGAGGGCAGAGCGCACTGAACAGTGTGCCTGCGTTCATTTGCCTTGAGCTGCTGGTGACAGGCTGCAGCCCAGAACAAGGAACTACAATAAATGCTTTCCTTCTATTGTTCTGTCAGGAATGGAACTAGAACAGAGCTGTTACAAGACTGTGACCAGGGCTAACTGTCCACTACACTAAACATGTCAGAGTGACGAAAGGATGAGCACTGTGTCTCATTTTTCTCAGATCATATTCACTCACAGATTTTTAACTTAGCCTCATGCTGCTTTTCTGAGGGTTTCCCTGAGTAACTCTCAAGAAACACACTTTATTGCATCATGCTTATTTTTATGTCTCTTATCTCCAAAACAAAGAAAACAGAAGACCCTTCCCACAGTCTCTGTGTACTCACAGTACCTGAAAGACATTGGAGGATCATTTAAGTTTTTTGTTAAATGAATAAATCATCAAAATCTAATAAACACATGAAAATACTTAAATACTTTCACCTTTCATTTGACATTTTTATTGACACCTCAATTTGACTATTAGGTCACATAAGAGCCACACAATTTTTACTCCACCGTGTGCATTAAAGTGATGAATGTTTACTTAGTGGTGCACAGAAGAGTGTTTTAAAGAGCAGAATATCCAGCCAGGCGTGGTGGCGCATGCTGATAATACCAGCACCCAGGAGGCTGAAGCATAAGGACAGATTTGAGTTTCAGAACATCTTAGCTGCAGAGGAAGACCCTGTCTCAAAATAAAACCAAACATGCAGACAGACATGCTACACAGCTGGCAGTATGTTGCAGTGGAAGTAGAACGGCCACTTTCACATTTCTTCCTAACGGCAACAAAGATGCACAGAAGCTTTTGAGAAAAAAGGCTATTTCTGTTGGACAGAATACCCAAGGGTCCCATTTCACAAAATCTGCACGTACTACAAGACTACATCTAAATAACATCAGGGCAGGTACTTCACTGAGCAGTAATAAAGAAAAATATAAAAACTTGATATTATTTTTACTGTTAATGTATTATCATCATAATTCTCAATTCTAATAAAATATAAAACCCAAAGCTCTATAGACTTACACACACATGCTCAAATGCATGCAGATGCACTCGCACACGCACACACACACACACACACACACAAAGGCACACACAAATGCAACCATGCACACTCACACCCAAAACGTCAAAAATCAATTTCAAAGAAACATCTTTTTACAATGCTTAGGGATATTAAAGAGAAAAGTGAAGAATCTACCAAATCAAAGTCACTTAGAAAACTTGGTCTTACATTTATTAAAAATATAAAATAGATACTTGCTTTAAAACTATACTAAAATGGATGGGGACACTGGCAGTTGTCTCTGACATACATGCCTTAAAAGGGAGAGGCGTGAGGGTCTACCACTCCACTCCAGTGTTCCCAACAATCCAACAGTGCACGAGTTAATTAGCTTGAGTGACCATCTTACTTAGCTTAACAAACAGCTATTTCAGGAAAGTTTTGCCTTTATGACTTAAAATACATAATTCAGGTTATTATGGAGCTATTTCAATGTAATTTATTGTGATGAGACATTAAAGCCTAGGAGTAGTAACAGCAATTCCCTGGGCTGGATGATCTTAGGCAACAACCATGGCGGGGGATGGGGGAGGGGAGGGACGGGGGGGGGTGCCTTCTTAGACACCTTCCCTCCCCCCTGACAGTGATGACAGTGAGCTCAGGGAGGATGCGGCACTCACCAGTATGGATCTTCTCGTGTCTCTGAAGCAGGTACTTCTGTATGAAACGCATGTCACATTGACTACATTGAAACGGTTTTTCGCCTTAAAATAATTTGACATCCATACATTAGTTAATGAATAAAGCAACACTTTAAGTCACCACTTCTGAGGCTAGATAAGTCTTAGAAGCCCAAATTTGGAAAATTCTAAAACACCATATGATTTTTAAAAACATTTTTCATTAACAGTTCTACTTTCCCTCAAAAATTTTCTCTAGGATTTAAAATTTTACATTTTCATAATCATACAAAAATAAAATTGGATTTACATCCTTCTAATAAAAAAGAAAACAGAAGATACACAAGTTAAGAAAGCACTCTCCAGACTACTGGTGTGGGCTTTAAATATCTCCTCTTCCTTATCTGAAGGCATGTCCATCTGGTTCTCTGGCTAACCATCCCTCTTTGCCCTTCTACCTATTTTCTTCAGAGACCAGAACTATATACACACCCTTGAAAGAAAGCCCTGTCCTTTGAAACATTCCCTCTCTGCTGAAGAACACTGTGGGTCTGTTCCCCAGGAAGCCATGCTTCAATGCTGCTTCACTCCTGACACCTCCTCTCTTCCTCCCACCACACCTTACGGGGGAGTCTCAGGGCTCACCCCAGGGCTTCCCACCCACTGCTGCCAGGCATTACAGAGATGGCCTCCTGTTTGGTCCACAGTTCTCAGTCACCTTCTATCTTCTGAGGGCCTCCTTGGACCCTCTCTCCTTCGGTTTCTAGCCATCACTGCACTTTTCTAGTTCATCAAATCTCCCCGTTCTTCCTTCTAACCTTCACCCACCAACTCATCTAACACTTCTAGCTTGCTTTTCTAAAGGTGTGGGATCAGTCTTTAGCTCTCTTTCCAACAATTTCATGACTTTTGACTTCTACTTTTGTTAGCTATCGTTCTAATACCTGATTTCTCAACACTGCCTGTGCTGGTCATACACCTAGCATAGAAAGACGGATGCAGGAGGCTCTTAACACACTCTTACGCAGTATTTCTCTAGTTAAAAAGAATGCTTTAAGCCAAGTAAGTACCCAGTTATTAACTGTATACATCCATGCTAATCGTCTTCTCATTTAAAGTCTTTCTTGGTTTCTTCCTGATGGTCTGGCTACAGATTCTGATTGACAATGCCAAGTTAGCTATGGTCTTAAGACTGACGACATTTATACGAAGATGAAAATAACAATGACAATAATTTTAATGGCCATAAGCCCATTTTAATTCAATACCTGTATGAATGAAGACATGTCTCTGTAAGTGATAGTTCGTTCTAAAGGCAGCATTGCAGTGCTCACAAACGTGAGATTTAGGGGTTTTCAAACCAAGTGATCCATCCTCATTTATTGTAAGGATCTAGTTTAAAAAAAGGCAAAAACAAAACAAAGTTTTTAAAATGTAAATACTATGTTTTAAAAGGACAATATAAGCAATGGTCACTAGAGGTTGTAAAAAAAATTTTTTTCACAAATAATCTGGAAAAGACTATTAGAATACCTTTAATGTAGGAAAGTACATTTGACTTGAATTAGGTAGTGCTGGTAGCTACCAGAGTTCCTAAGTGTTTCCCTAAGGGGCTGCTAAGTGAGCAGTTTAATTTTCAGTTTCAAATTCTCATGTATACAGGAAGAAAAGTCAGGTATCAAATCAATCAATGAGAATGACTAAAGAAAACCAATTCTACTTAATTTTATTTAACTGTAAAGAGAGAAAGTCTATCTCCTTAAGGGGGGGGGAGGGGGGGAAACAACCCAATCTGGATTTGTTCAATTCAAAAAGGTTCAGAACCCAGTATATAATTCTGCTATATATACACATATGAATGTATGTATGTTGACAGATAGATCTATCTATATATCTATTGATATACAGCGTCCTTGTGTGTGTGTGTGTGTATATATATGAATATACTTTTATTTGTACATGTTTAATAATTTCAAAGTGATTTACACCTTGACTGTGAGGGATGAGACTTTAACAGATAAAAGGTGGGCATACATTTTACAGACTTAAAATATTTTTTGAGTTAAGTAAGAGTTTAGCTGTTATTATTTTCTTATATTTTAAAAAGGAAAAAATTAAGTTTTCCAGTAACTCTACAGTAGAATCTCAGTCTAGGATTTACAAGGGTACTGTAGAACAACCACTACTAAACAGGTCCTAAAAATATTTGTCAGATAAATAAAGCTAGGAATGGAGAAGAGGATGGAAAAAAAGAAACCAGCTTTATCATTCTAGTGTCTTGCAATCAAGAACACTGTGAGCATGTTCTGGACAGTTAGTGGTGTAGGCTCACCATCAACCTCATGAATTCTAACTTACTAACAACTTACTCAGCATGCAGCATTTTACCACGGCCCGTTAGACCAACGTGGAGTGATAAGAACCAATGATCCCTTTTATCATTACCACGGAGAGAAAAGAAATGACAGAAAGTGATGTGAAGAAGCACAGAGAGCTACAAAAGAAGGCCAGGTGTAGTGGATATCAGGAGAGTACAGAGTCTAAGGTCAGCCTGGGCTACACAGCACGAACCTAAGCCAAGGAGAGGGAAAAGCTGGATCTGATCAGGAGGCATGTAGCCAGGAAGTGGGAGATAATTTTGGAGGTCAAAGTGTAGAGAAATTTAGCTGAGTGGTGGCACACTAACCCAGCACTCAAGAGACAGAGGCAGGTGGATCTCTTGTGAGTCCAAGGCCAGCCTGGTCTATGTAGAGGGTTCCAGGCCAGCCAGGGAGATGAGAGACCCCATCTAAACACTTCCCCTTATACACATAAAATAAAAAAGACTGAAAGAAAGTAAATCGAGAGACTGTCCAACATGGGAAAGAGAAACCTGGGCAACATCTTAAGAATACAAAGGACCATGAAAACTGACTAGGGCCTACAAACACATAATTATGATTCCTTCTTCAACCTAGAAAAGAGAAGTAGGGAAGGATAAATAGCTTTAATCTTTAGAGTATCTTTTTACTTTAAATTCAGGAAGACAGTTCAGCCTATACTATATGCAAATCAATGATAATTAGCATGCAAATTATACAGGGTATTTGGGTTCTGGGCAAATTGCCAACATGGTCAACAATGCCTCAAGTCTATGCACTCAAGACATAGAAGGGACACATTTGGCAGGAGAATGGAAGTGGGTGTCACAGCTTCCTGAACAGTCAGTGAGAATAAAAGTTTGATTTCTGGCCAGTCAAGTTTAAAAATTTTTCAGTTCCTCCAAGTCACATAATAATAATGCAAGTTAACACTGTACAGAAAGAAAATACACAAACCCTCTTAAAATAGAATTCAAAATATACAAAACAGAATGATGCTAAATATTATATATCATAACCAAGATGATAATACCAGGCTTTCTTCTTTTCACGTAAGTTGATAAAAATAAGATGAGTGCCAAAAGCCATGGCAGTCCAATGGCTTTCTGCAGCACAGCAACTGTAAGGAAAGGTTTTGTCAGGCTTAACTGTGAAGCAGTGTAACCCCTAACTGTAAGAAGCCCTTTATGGATAGTTAAGAGTTTGGGGTCATTATTTTCTGCTATCTTCATTCATGTTTTAATGCAAGGTAGAATCATACGGATGAAACAGATACTGTTACTATCTTATGGGCAAACACACACAAAAAAACAATCCAGCAAATTTATACATTCAAGCAGAAATATCAAATTCTTGGACATTTTAAATTTCTTTTCCTTTGTTGGGCTGGTATAACACATATATTTGTTTATAGGACAAAGTAAAATCCATCTTGCCACAAACAAGCACCAATGGTTTTTCCAATGTGAAATCTGCTTGAAATGTAACCACATGAACTTGCCCGTTTTCTTCACTGCTATAAAACCCCTATGTCCAAACCTGGAGTCTGGGGCCCAGTGGGGATTCTGCACCTATAATGACAAAGCTAGCTGTCTGCTATTCATACCAAATAGCTCCCACAGCTCATCACTTTCTGTAAACAAAAAGGCTTTGCTAAAAATGTCCTTCTCCATCTTTTGGCCTTCAGACACCCCCCCCCCTCCCCACTGAGTAGGCACCATGGAGAGGTAAGCATTCCAAGACAAAGTCCAGGGGTGAAAGGGACAACATATTAATTCAAGGCAAACTGTCTTCTTCAGCATAACCTGACTTATATTCTTTCAGGATCTTTTCAAATTATGATCCAATACTTTGAGACATTTGCCCTAAAGATTAGCAGTCAAACTTGCTATTAGTATAATATTTTTTATAAAAAAAAAAAAACACAAAAACATTTTTTATTTGCTCCCCCACCCTTAACATACGATCACCATCAGAGCAGAAAAAGCTGAAGGTTCATGTTTAGGACGTGGGAGATGGCCTTTTTTTAGTTTAGCTGGGGATTCCGTTTTGAAGAAAGACTCTGGCTCTACAGGCCAGAATGTTTACAATGCCCCCAAACTGGAATTACAGGCATGCTCCTCCAAGCCAACCCTGACAACAGCAGCTCTGGGTGCTTTAGCTCCTCCTGTCACTGCTACATCAGCAGAACAGTGTATTAATTAAGACCCAGAGAGCAGGCTCTCCTCTTACCAAGAGAAATCTTGGCAAATATTTAAATATCCAACTCCTAGGGTTTCGTATTTGTTTAATAGCGTTAAATTAAGATTTTACAGAAAAAAAATGTTTGGTATCAAATGAAATTCCTAGCTATTTCTGTGTCCCTAATTTCATGGTTCACTCTGTGTTATTTTGTTTTGAGACAAATCTGTTCCTAGCTAGTGTCACATATGTAGTTATACACCCACACCCAGAGTGGAAGAGGTGTCAGGAGTGAGGAGGGCTCTCTTACTAGCACACCTCTTTTTATTAGGCAAAGGCCTAAGCTTTGCTTATTCAATTGGGAGACTTCATTCTGGGGTCAATGTCACACTCCTCCAAGAGAAAAGGGTCTTCTCCAAAGACAAGCAATGTTGACATTCTATTACTACTAAATTATCCATGCATGCGTATTTTAATCTAATGAGTACAGATTTTGTAATACCTTCCAACATTAACTGACATCAACATTTAAGCTACTCAAACCCAAGAGAACTGAGAGGAGATGCTTCAAAACAGTGGTGTTCCACCTGTGGGTCTGACCCCTTTGAATGGCCCTTTACAGGGGCGGCCTATCAGATATCCTACATATCAGATATTTACATTATGATTCATAACAGTAGCAAATTCCAGATATGAAGCAATAACAAAAATAATTCTACAGTTGAGGGTCACCACAACATGAGAAACTGTATTAAAGGTCGCAGCGGTAGGAAGGTTGAGAACCGCTGATTTAAACCCTCATCAATTATGAGGTATTATTTACAACTGAGGGTGGGAGAAGGACTGGAAAGATTTTCTTCTTTTTCCAAAAGAATACAGCTCCAAAGGCATATAAGAAGGTCATCCAAGAGTACAAGCCATCTATCTGACTTACTAGTCAAGAGACAGACAGTACCTCAGTCACTCTCTTCAGTCCCTATGCTACATTTTACTTCTCAGCAAATTTCATTTTCAAATGGTAAGCTTTCACAGTGGCAGAACATGAAACTCACTGTGTTATAAGAACGGAACACAATTCATATTCAGCATATTTGCCTTGAGGGTTTAGAAGGGGTGTGTGGGTACGTGTGGGTGTGTTCAGATGACAACATGCAGGTGCTAGTTTTCTCCTATCTGAATCAAACTCAGATTACCCACTGAGCCATCTCATTAGCCTCTGACTATTCGTTTTACAAAGGTCCTTTCTTGTTTCCTGCACTTAAAGAAGTAGGTGATAGTCTATAAAGATGCTTTTTTTTCATCATCAGAATCTTCTTAGTGGTTCAGTTCTATGGAAAATAATGTCCCCATATACATTCACTCTCTCAGAAAACCAGATTAATGAATTACTACTGTATTATTTTTCTAATTTTCTTCCTTTCTTTCCTCATTAGCATTGTGTTACTTTTCTAGTTTCAACTCTTACAATCAATTAATCTTCAAAGGTAGTTCTTCCAAAAACCAAGGGAGCATGGAGAAAGGTGATACATGTCTCCATTTGCTGCTTCCTTTAAAATACTTTTTCTCATTTAACAATCAGTCTATCTTAAGTTTTCTTGGTGCCAAAATCTCAACTCTCTTCTGAGACCAACAGGATACACTGGCTGCTGGGGGCTGACCACAGAGTTCATGATCTGTGTGTGGAATATGCTCGTTCTTCAGTAGCTCAGCACTGTTCTCAACAATCAGCTTCTATTCAGATCTCCTAAAGGACTCCAAGAACAACACACATCCTCAGGTCTTGTCACAAGACTGGGGACTCAAATTATTTATTAAATGAAAAGGAGAAATACTGCAGAATAGAAGTAATTA